CACTTGTGGCCAGTCTTTCCCATCACCCCGGCCTTTAGTCAAAATTCTCACAACAGCAAGTTTGCATCACCCTAGCCCACAGCCAGATTTTCCAATTTAAAGGGGCTAATGGTACCAGGATAAAATTGGAGTGCATAAGCTCAATTGGCCTCACATAATCCCCAGAGCAGGCAAAGGCACAATGTAAATTCTCCCAGAGGCATTGGGTTGAGATGCTATACAATTGTTCTCACAAACCCCATAAATGAGCAGGGGAAATCTGAAAGAGAAAGTCCGTTACCATAACTTGACAACAACAATAGTCATTCATCATCACTTTACAGATTCAATGCTTCCTATAAAACATGTCTGTACACAAAAACCCATAATAACTATTGTTAAATATCAATAAAATGTAAACTATTACAGATATTAGTCTGTAATTGTTTGCAAATTAAGGGAAAACTGGGTGATATATGAGGTATGACTTTACTAAAGTAAAGATATGTAATGCAATAGTTAATAATTGGCTTTTTGTGTGTGTGTGTGTGTGTGTGTGTGCGTGTGCGTGTGCGTGTGCGTGTGCGTGTGCGTGTGCGTGTGCGTGTGCGTGTGCGTGTGCGTGTGCGTGTGCGTGTGCGTGTACGTGTGCGTGTGTGTTGCAGCACAGCGAGTGCTGCTTCACCGTATCTGAAAAATGACACAGAGATATGCCCCAGTCAGCACAGCATACTCCCTGGAGCAGAAGTCAAGTAAACCTCAAATTCTTGAGGAGGCATTGAATTTATAAAGCAAAACATGAACAAAATCTGTTTTCCATAACCAATTTTCCTTTTGTATATCTATCAAAATATGAGATAATGATGATTATCAATCTTGATATAAATGAGGGATACCTCTATATCTGATTTTTCAACATTATTTGTGGTGTTATTTATTTAACCCCTTCACGACAGGTGACGTGAATTGGCGTGAAAAGAAACCGCTCATAAAGTGGTGTGCGGCTGCACGCCGCGGTGACACGCCAAATTGCAGCAAGCCGGTGATTTGGCCTGATGTACCAAACTCCCGCACTCAAAGTCGGCGCACTGCCATGGTTCGCCAGAGTGTAGAGTTTTTGTTTTTTTGTTTTTTTGTTTTCTTCACCCGTCACCATTGGGTTAAAAAAAGAACAAGAACCATGAGGATCAAATTAATCAAAAGAGTATGGGATGAAAAAAGTTTAGAACCAGCATGTCAGAACAAGGGTATCTTCTTCCTGCTAGGTCCTGAATCCTAGATTCATGTATCCTAGATGAAGACTAAGTTATTGATTGATAACTTTATTAACCTATTGCCGCCGGGTGGCATGTACATACATGGCATGGCATGCCTGGGCTATATTCTAGGTAGCATGTGCATACATGAAATGTTGCACCAGTCCCATTTTCCAGAGCATGTATATCGCACACATTATGGTGAGAGGGGAGAGAGGGCTTTCGTATCAAGAAACCTCCCAGCGGCATTGGGTTAATATCCTAGTTACATCTGTGTGAATCACTACCAATTAAAAAGGAAGAAGAAACAATTAGGATACTTTTGTCCTTGTTTTCACAAGGCTGACATAGAAGATAAGAGTAATTTCACAAAATATCTATTATCTAAAAACATAAAATAAAGAAAATTTTAATTCTATATATAACTAGCAAAAATTTCTGGCTACTGTATTCACAGATTATAAAAATTCACTACTTACTAAATCTTCTTCAGTTTGCCTCTTGAAAAGTGGGTGCTGAGTAAAATGATGAACCATCCAGTCATGGAGATCTTTCACATCTGTGACAGTATAGACATGGCCCTGTAATGGATATAAAATGCATTACATTCAAAATCTTTAAGTATAAAGTATAATTTTACTTAGTTGTATTTATAATCTTTCAGCCCTTAGTTCATCAGATCCTAATATACTAATATACTTCCTACAACAAAAATAAATTATTTCCACAGTCTAATAAGGTTTCATTCTGTTATCACAGCAGATATTCTGTTTGCTTGCTTGTTTCACATCTGACAGCACTATAGGATAGTATGGTAGTGAAAAGTGTAAAGAGGGGGAGCAAATGAGGTACAGCAGGGATTAGTAAATGTGTGACGGGAATTAAAGTCTAAGGACAATTAGATCAAATGGAGGTCTGAAAACTGAAGGTAGAAGATATGTGTAACATTTAGACTTCCTGGTGTGACTGGTAATTGAGGAGGAGGAGCAAGCATCAGGGAAGTGGTAGAGATTGGCAAAAGAATCTGACTGGAAGAGAGAGGGGGCAGAGGTGGGATGGTAACCAGTAGGGGCTAGAGATACTGGAGGAGATGCAGA